TATTTTCTGTCAACATTTAGTATTAAAATGTAACATTTAGTAATAACTAGCCAAATGCAAGAACAGTGAGCTAAACAACAACACAATGAAATGAAATGACATTTCAGGATTTCACACTCAGAAAGTGAGCTAAATGATGAAAATTTGTTTCTGACATTTTTGAACATTTAATTTTACACTTAGTGCTGTAAAGTCTAACTTTCTCTGAGCTTTTTAAACTCCTGTAAATAAAGACTTTACTGATCCTAAAGTCCTGCAGCAGACCATCCCTGCAGGTCTGCAGACTGGACCCAGCCTCAGACCGACCTGGGCCAGAGTCTGATCCGGTCTGAGGGGTTTAATGCAGGGCTGTGAACACACTGCAGACTGAAACAGAGTCACATCAGGACAGCTGCACATGGACATGTTTGAGGTGAATGACAGGAACACATGTTCCGGCCCAGGGGCTTGGRRATTATTTTACAGCCACTGCGTCAAACAGCGGCTTTAGAAGCCGGGGAGCAGGTCGGGAGCCCGCAGAGTGACCCAGGATCAGTAGGAGGATGGAGGATGTTTGTTTACCTGATGTGAGGAGAGCCCTCCCTCCCAGCGGTGTGAAGCCGCTGCTGGTGCGCAGGAGGCGGGCTAACGGAGCTGATGGAGTCCGGTTCCTGCTGTCCTCCTGCTGTGACTCACACTCAAAAGACTCAGACCGGCCGTGTTCCCTGCTCCTCTGTCCGTATCAACTCTCTCATCTCTCTCCCTTGGTTTCTGTGACTCACCTTCTTCTTCTTCTCGCTCCAACGTCAGGTTACTGCCGTAATCAAACTACTTCCGGTCCGAATCCTACAGCGTAAAACATCCGTCTGTCCGTGTATCCACACACTCATCTGTTTACTTTTCCAGTCATCATAAATCRATTAATCTTTTATCCTTCTATCTCTCATTAACCAATTTATCCAGGCATTMGTTTGATACAACTTTCATCAAAATGCAAAACTCTTATTTTGAAGGCRGTGAAGACTAAGTTCCGCTTTTTATTTTTTGTGATTCCGCAGCTTTTATTTTTGCGTGTCCTATTGTGGGCCTCTGCTGTCGAAGCGAAACAGACGGGAGGTGCAGGTGCTGCCTCCCTCACCACCCCCACACACCCCCAGTCTCCCTCCCACCCTGCCACAACCCCCCGCCCCTGTCTCACTGCCACCTACCCCCGACACACACACACAAACCTGTTTTTGTATCCTTGTGGGGCCCGTCCATTGACTTCCATTCATTTTTTGGTAATTTTATATCCTAACCCTGACCACAAACCCTAAGGCTAACCTCACANAACTGTTTCACCTGCAGTTTGTTGTTTCACTGCTAACACAGCAGCTGGCTCTACTGTACTTTTTAAAATCAAACTGTCACGTTGGAGTTGAAATGATGTTTTAGTTGTTTTTTTTCTCTGAACACAGAGCAGAAAGACATGAACACTGCAGACTTCAGTATTTGTTCATCGTAAGTCACCCCACCATCGCAGCATTAAGCTGTTATCACAGTTTCTTGATATCATGCAGCCCTGTCCAGAACAGGTTAGACACTCTATTTGGTATGCCTCACATACTACAAAAAGAAGATGAATACCTGGTTAATATATTTATATCAACAAGTAAAAAGTTATCACAAGACTGTACAGATGTAACTGCTCAAGAAAGTTTTAAATTAAAATAAGCTAAAAAAAAATGACATTTTTGCACCTTCCAAGAGGCAGACAAGCTGGGTTAATCCACCAATACAAAACCAGTCAAACTTACCAACAGCTGCCTGAAAGGACACAGAAGTCAGAACCAGCAGACCCAAACAGACCTCCATCCTCTGGCTTTAGCAGGATCTTGAACAGAAGAAACCGTTTGATGATCAGCAGGAAGAAGACGAGTGGTCCGACCTGTGCAGACACAGTTGTTTTTATAAAAAACTCTTTAATCAGCAATACAGAAACCTGAGGACAAGTTTCATCGCTTCATATCACAGAAATATACGCATTCCTGAAAACAAGTCCAACATGAGCCTTACAACGAACTGTTTGAGGTTAGAACAGACTGTAAAATAAATCTAGATATAACATGCTCTCTTCAATTTTTGGYCATAATTTCCTATTTTACAGACAATATATTGTATTTTTGGACCAGGATCTGAGCACTAGAGCTGTGTTGTGCTCTGCCTCTMCTCCTGCACACTGACGGTGTAACATGAGCCTTCTAATAAGCATCCATCCATTTTCTTTGTCTGCAGGCTTGTAGGGAGCTAGTGCCAATCTGCAGCTGTTACAGAGCAGGAGGGCGGTGTGAAGTTCACCAGTCCATCASTGGACCACATAAAGACAAGACAGACATCCATTAATTCACTCACTGACTCTTATTAAGCATGAAATAACTAGTTACAGCTAAACACATGAGGAAACACAGCAGGAACTCTGAATGAAACAGAGTCCACAGCTATTATCTGATGTGTATTTTTATTTATTTTTTTTACTAAAGCATTGTCTCTATGCATCAGTATTGGTCCGATAAATAAAACYGGGCTGATATTAATGTTTGATATTGATTTTGCACTTTTTGTCCCCCATCGTTGAGGTGGGGGACAAAAAGTTGGGTCAAGACAAAAAGGTGGGGGGCTTAGAAATGCTCTCCATCGGTCCGTTCGAATTTCAGACAGCTGTAACTTTCACATCAAAAGGCTAAATACACCAAACATTGTATGAGTCACTTACTGTATGTTGAATACCCCACCATTCCATGTGGTCATATCACATCAAAGCCCCCCGACAACAGGAAGTGACCTATAGACATCATGCAAGTGACATATGTTTGGCTCTAAATTCCACATATTTCAGCCAATCTGCACCAAATTCACTATGGTCAATCCTAATCCACCCCACTACAGGAATGCAGTCCAACTTTTGGAGGGCGTGGCCTAATTGGACATAACACCACTGACATATGGTTAGCTCTAAATCACACGTACATGACCTGATCTGAACCACATTTTGTCTGCATCATCACGGAGACCTGCTCAACACATTTGTGAAGTAGTTTGACAAAATCACTGTAGCCCCCTGTCTGTTAGTCTGTCTGTTCACCTTATAAGATGATTTAAATAATTAGATTAGGTTAGATTATATCAGATTAGATTATATTATATTAGATTAGATTAGATTAGATTAGATTAGATTAGATTAGATTAGATTAGATTAGATTAGAGAGACCTTTATTGTTATCGTACATGAGCACAATGAAATTACAGTTCAGAACACCCATTCAGAAGAAGACAGAACAAACATGAGAGAACAGGTGCTCTGGGTCATGCAGCCACTGACCCTGCACAGAACAAGGATCATTTTCATGAAGACATCACGAAGAGGCGCTACCCTTAACAGAAAAACTAAAAAACACACAAGGGAAGATGAGGGAAAAAAATAAACAAACATCATATATCAACAATGTGACACACTATGGTGTTTATAAAAAAAACTCTGCATAGAGCAGATTTATTAGCCAGAGGAGTAAGTGAGTTTAGGAGGGCCCGAAGAATCGAGTCCCCAAAACCAGCACAGCCATAGATCAGAATATTGATGGTAACTGTTCATTCTGTGCGGCCTTCAGTTTGCTCTAGGAACCAGATCAGAAGGGTATGAGAGGATGGGGTAGGTGTGGGGCAGAGCCTTGTCGACATAATCCAACCAGGAAAAATTTAGTCAACAGCTCAAGGCTATGTACGGGAGAGCCGAATTTGTAATCAGTTGTTTTGGGAACAGAAGAGTCAGGCAGACGATAACAATTTTCCATCTATTCAATGTCTGCTTGTACATCTCAAGGTGGCGATTCCAATCAGACAAATAGTGTGGACAAATTCCACCGAGCCGATATCAGCTTCTCCAAGATCAATTCCATTTGGCCATCAAAGTCCATGTACCACAGCCGGCCCGCCACCCTCAGCAGAACCAATTGCAGACAGAGTCTAGCTCGCTCAAGGCAAATGCCCGAGTGCTGATAGACCGGCCATCCATCAAATTAGTCAGGCAGCCAGGAAATCAACAGTCACTGACTTTGTTTTGTAGAACACCAGGAGACCACCAAGCCAATCTGTAGAATCCAGTGATCGGAATCCAAATATTTAGCCAGAACAGAGAAGAACAGAGGTCCCACATTTGACATGTCCTCCCATGGAAGAAAAAACTTTGTTCCAAAAATTTATTAAGAGACCAGCTAAACAAATCCATAAAAATAAAATATCCATAATTTCTGGTTTCAGGTGATAAAATGTAGAGAAGGCTCCAAGCAGCAAAGCAGGGAAGATAAGGAAGGGCAGGAGAGAAGGGAAAAGCGTCTTATGCTGCGTTCACACCGAACGCGATTTCAGCTTCAAAATCGCATCCAACGCTTCAAGTTGGACGCTTGTGCAC